AGCTATCATTCTGCTCCTTTTAGCTATCATTCTGCTCCTTTTAGCTATCATTCTGCTCCTTTTAGCTATCATTCTGCTCCTTTAAGCTATCATTCTGCTCCTTTAAGCTATCATTCTGCTACTTTTAGCTACCATTTTGATCACTGATGTGGTCAACAAGCCGAAGGTGCTGAACGTTCAGAAATTAATTTGATCTCCTTTCAAAGGTCAAGAGTTTTAGAATCAGCGTTGTGTGTGTTGGTCCGGTTCTGTGGCCACTCTTTTATGTTTTGATTTTTAATGAACAGGTTCTGGTTCTGACGAAGGTGAAACAGAACTTGACTGAACCAACAAAAGAAAAAAGATTAAAGTCGGAGGAAAAATAAAACGTTTGTAGTTTTCAGGTTGAATCCTTCAGAACCCGAGTCACGGCTTCAACAACCAAACAGAACCTTTTGGACCTTCCACATGAAGTTTGGGTCTGCAGCGTGGAGGAAGCTTCTCCCTGAGACCACGAGGCGGTTCTGTACCTGAGCAGCGCTCCGAACAGCTTGGTGACGTTCTCAGACGTCTGGACCACGACGACAGGCTTGGACAGAACCTGAGACAAATCCATCTGCAACAAAAACAGAACCAGCTTTCAGGCCGGACCTCGTCCGCATTCCTGCTGCGACCATGGAGAACCCGAGGCTTACCTCACTGACCGTGTTCTGGTTCAGAACCAGGATGATCAGCGCTGAAGCTCCAAGGACCAAGGCCCGCTTCATCTGAGGAGGAGGAACAGGATGAACGCTCAGCAGGAAGTCATCACAGCCAACGAGTTCATCTAAAGGCTCCAGTATACTGCCGCGTACGTCCGTTCACGCGTACGTAGGCGTGTACTGTACGCAGAGGGCTCATACGATACTCCAGCGTCCACCCCGAGCAGCCGCAGAGCAGCTTCACAGACAAGGGGCGTTTACCTTCGGGACAAATTGAGGTCACCGATTGGTCATTTGCTGACACGCCTACTGGATTGATTGACAGGTCGAAAAAAAAAGAAAAAAAGCGAGCGCTGGCAGCCTCAGCTGCAGCGGTGTTCTGTGTTTATATGTTGTTAATAAAACGATCTAAAAAAACAGGGAGCGCTGGCCCTGCAGTCCACCAGGAAACCTCCAGACCCTCCCGCAGCCACGCTGGACCTGAGTTTAATTCGCTCGTGACAAATTCCTTCATTTCTCTCCATTTCAGTCATGGCATCAACGGAGGAGGAAGAGATCTCTGCCTCTTGGCAACAAAACTAAAGAAAAGGCCAGATCAGGGATGAAGAAGGGGAATTTAATACATTGGTGTCGCATACAAAACAGTCCCTCGCTGGGCAGTTTATTGTGCGACACCGCGTACACGTATGTGGTCGTAAAAATGTGAGCTTTGCACGGACATGCCCTGTGGGGTACGTATGTACGTATGTACGTACGTACGCGGGAGTATACTGGGGGCTTTACTTTACTGACGACGGCGTCAGCGAAGGACTCCTGCTTCCAGGTGGACGCTTTGCTGTCGTCCATCTCCACGGGAACCACTCCGATCCAGACCTCCTGCTCCTTCAACTCGTCTTCATCGTTCCCTTCATCCAGCCGCGTCTCCTCATCTCCCACCTGAGGAGGTCAGCAAACAGTCGAGCTGAAAGAAAACAACTTTCACTGCTGCTGCACTAAACAAACAACTTGAATAAACAACAGTTAATCAGAATATTTAGTTTTTCTATTAAATAAAGTTGTTTTCCTATTTGTTGTAAAAAATGATCCGTTTTATTCAGATTTTTTTAAATATTTGTTTCTGATCACAACAACTGGAACTGAAAGAAAAACTAATCATGACCCACATCTAGGGCTGAGTGCTGAACCTCACTTCTTTTGTGGCACCGACCAAACTGCACCGGTCCATGTATGTTTGAAAACACGCCTCTTCTTTCAGTGTCGAGTTTCTGTGACTGGCTGTCACGTGTCACGTGGTTTCAGCACGCCGGCAGGTAAAACACAGACATATGACAAGCAGACTACGTGTTTACACCCAGAGCTGCATAGAGCTGCTGTACAGCTGTATGTCTATGGTGCTGGTGACGTTCACACACCGGGTTCACGTGTCTGTTGTGTGAACTGTGCAGCGCGTGTCGTCGAACGGCTTCAATTTACGAGTTGCTCCGTGTTTGACTGCAAGGAGAGAGGAGAGCAGCCTCCTCCTCCTCCTCCTCAGCGTTAGTCAGCCTGTGAGTGTTAGGTCGTTAATAATAATGGTTTTTGATCAATAAGAGCACAACCATGTTATTGTTGATGTTTTGTTCTCATCTCAGTTAGGGAGATGATCAGATCCCTAAACCCCAGAGAACCACAGAGAAGATTCAGGCAGAGACACAGAGGTGCAGAAGTCTGCATCATCCCTACCTCAGTGAATCCAGTGACCTGCTGGTGGGATGTGAGGGACAATACATCAAACTGACAACCAGGTATCTGTGTGTGCAACAATCATCATCCACAGCCTCAGAGTGAACATGTTCTACTGCTGGAGACACCATCAGCCAGAAGCAGCTGGTTTGTGTCCAGAGAAAACAGACATGTTGATGTTTCTGAAGAAGAACTGTTCAGTGAAAAGGTCCTCAGTGTAGCAGTGAACATTAGACACTGACCTGTCACTGGTTTGTAACTGGTCTTTGAACTGGAAATTATTTGTTTATGTAAGAAAACTGCTTGGAATAGAAAAATACCAAAGTTAAAAAATAAAACTCACAATTTGTACTGTAATGTGTAACATTGTTTTATTCTTGTTAGAATTAATATTAATTATAAAATTGGTACCGAAATAAGAACCGTCCAGGAACCAACACTGAAGTGAAGGTACCAACACCGGTACACATTTTTTTAGAAAGGTACCCAACCCTACCCACATCAAAACAACCATCAACATCAACGAGGACCCTCACCAGTACACATACTGCAAGAATCGATCAACAGAGGACACCATCTCCTCTGTGGTCCACACTGCTCTCTTCCACCTGGAGCAGGACTCTTACGTCCATATGATCTTTGTGGACTTCATGTCTGCCTTCAACACCATGATCCCCCAAACCCTGATGGACAAACTATCCACACTAGGACTAAGCCCCTCCATTTGCAACTGGGTCCTGGACTTCTTAACAAACAGACCACAGTTAGTGAGGATCCACAACCTCTCCTCCTCCACCATAACCCTCAGCACTGGCTCTCCTCAGGGATGTGTGTTGAGCCCCCTCCTGTTTGCTCACGTATGATTGTGCAGCTACCCATCCAGGCTGTCACATTGTAAAGTTTGCAGATGATACAGCGGTGGTGGGATGCATAACAAACAATGATGAGTCCAGCTACAGGCAGGAGGTGGAACACCTGGAGAGCTGGTGCAGAGAGAATAACCTTCACATCAATGTGAAGAAGATGAAGGAGATGATTGTGGACTTTAGATAGAACAAACACACCTACACCCCCTGAGCATAAGAGGATCTGCGGTGGAAGTGGTCTCCAGCTACAAGTACTTGGGTGTGCACCTGAACAACAACCTCAGCTGGAGCAACAACACCACCAGCCTGATGAAGAAAGATCATCAGAGACTCTACTTCCTCAGACGGCTGAGGCGAGCTGGTCTGGAAGCTCAGTCCTCACCTCCTTCTACAGGTGTGCAGTGGAGAGCATCCTGTGCTCCAGCATCCACGTGTGGCATGGAGGCTGCACAGCTGCAGAAAGAAAAGCTTTGCAGAGAGTGGTGAAGGCTGCACAGAAGATGTTGGAGTCAGTCTCCCCACCATCACAGACATCTACACCTCCAGATGCAGGAAGAGGGCCACCTGCATCATGAAGGACCACACTCACCCAGCACACACACTTTTTGCCCCACTCCCCTCAGGAAGGAGGTTGAGGAGCATTAAGTGTAGAACCACTAGACTGAGGAACAGCTTCTACCCTGAGGCTGTTAGACTCATGAATCTCTAACTAGAAGAATCACTGTAATGCCACTTAATTGTTGATATGTCCTGCTGACTATCCATGCTGCTGATCTCATGCTGCTGATCTCATGCTGCTGTGTTCATTCGTCCTCATCTGCTCACACAGACTCATGTTCGTGCTGCTGCTGTTCCGTGTATTGTTTTTGTACTTTAATGTTTAGTGTATTCTTAGTTCATACCTTCGATCTTGTTACTGCTTTTCTTTACCAGTTGTACTTTGCTGGATGTAACTGGGACTCTGTGTACACAGTTTCGTTCCACCACACGTGAAACTAACTTTGACTTAAAGAACCGAGCCTGACCCTCCATGCTGTTTCACATTTCCGTCCGGACTCACCAACACCAGGTCCCCCTGCAGCCCCTCGGGGCTCCTGCTGCCCCCGCTGGATCCCACCACCTCCCCCCGGAGCAGGGCGCTGACCCCGGCCCGGTCCAGGAACACCTCCACAAGAGCGACCTGCTCGGCCGCCAACAGAAGCCCGGACCACGGCAGCAGGAGGAGCGGGATCCCGAGGCGGCCCCACCGAGCCGCCGCCATGAGCCGGCTCAGCTTCCGAACCCACGAACCCACGGTCAGCTGTCGTCCATTGGTTCACACGCCGCGGAGCTGTGCGCCTCGCACGCGACCTCTACAACGTAAACAGGAAAAAGATTCTACTTCCGGCTGGAACCGGAAAACGTCCTTTTAATCCTAATAAAAGGTGGTTACATAGTTTTTATTTTTTGTTTTAAATACCAGTATAACCGTAGTTTAAGATAAAGTGTTACATTTTACAAAACTTCCTAAACTTTTTAAATGTCGGCATGGAAACAAAGAGTTTAACAACAAGAGAAGTATCTTCCTACACTTTCTTTTTGTTTCGGTCTTCCTGCTCTATGTACGCGGGACAGCTGATCCAGTAGAATTACTCCGGGATTTACTTCTCGTCAGAGGAGAGAAATAAAGAGACTTTCCACGTTCATAGATTTAGTTTGAATGAGCCCCGAAAGACCAAAACTCACAACGTTTGCGCTTCCGCCGCTCTGCCCGACCGTTACATCAAACTAAACCGCGTGCTGCTTTCAGTATTGACAAGTAAACCTATCAGTTATTGGTAACGTCATAAAAGTACCTAAAATATATTTTAAAATGTTTTACGACCCTTAGTATATATGTGCGCATGCGTGATAAGTAGTTACTAACGAAGATCGTCTCTGAACTTTAAACAGACGTATGACTCGATCATAAAAAAGCTTCATAAACAAATGTGTATTCATTTAGTTATTTCTAACTTAGGTTAAAAAAAGTTTGATTTGATCCTATAGATCTTATATGAAATGTGTTTTACTGTTAAAACACAAGGCTGGAGAAAATAGTTATATTTTAAGTCATTCTGTAAATTACACAACATGAACAGTATTAGTTATATATACGTAATTTACATATTTTATACGTATTTTTATTTGTCATTTATTTGTTTGCAGTGGTGGGATGTAACTAAGTACAATCACTTCATTACTGTAGTTAAGTACACTTTTCACGTATCTGTACTTTACTTAAGTAGAGTTAAACATGGGTACTTTTTACTTTTACTCCACTACATTTTACATTAAGTATCTGTACTTTCTACTACACTACCTTTCTATAACGCGTTGTGTTACAAGTTACAGCGCCTTGTGAAAGTATTGGGCCCCTTGAACTTTTCAACCTTTTGCCACATTTCAGGCTTCAAACATAAAGATATAACATTTTAATTTTTTGTGAAGAATCAACAACAAGTGGGACACAATCGTGAAGTGGAATGAAATTTATTGGACGTGTCAAACTTTTTTAACAAATAAAAACTGAAAGTGGGGCGTGCAGTATTATTGGGCCCCCTAGCGTTAATACTGTAGCTCCGCCTCTTGCTGCAGTTCCAGCTGCAAGTCTCTTGGGGTTTGTCTCCATCAGTTTTGAACATGAGACACTGAAGTTCTGCCCATTCTTCCTGCAGAACAGCTGGAGCTCAGTGAGGTTGGATGGAGAGCGTTTGTGAACAGCAGTCTTCAGCTCTTTCCACAGATTCTGGATTGGATTCAGGTCTGGACTTTGTCTTGGCCATTCCAACACCTGGATATGTTTATTTGTGAACCATTCCATTGTAGATGTGTCTTTATGTTTTGGATCATTGTCTTGTTGGAAGATAAATCTCCGTCCCAGTCTCAGGTCTCTTGCAGACTCAAACAGGTTTTCTTCCAGAATGGTCCTGTATTTGGCTCCATCCATCTTCCATCAATTCTGACCATCTTCCCTGTCCCTGCTGACGAAAAGCAGGCCCAAACCATGATGCTGCCACCACCATGTTTGACAGTGGGGATGGTGTGTTCAGGGTGATGAGCTGTGTTGCTTTTACTCCAAACATATCGTTTTGCATTGTGTCCAAACAGTTGGATTTTGGTTTCATGTGACGAGAGCACCTTCTTCCACATGTTTGGTGTCTCCCAGGTGCTTGTGACAAACTTTAAACACTTTTTATGAATATCTTTGAGAAACGGCTTTCTTCTTGCCACTCTTCCATAAAGGCCAGATCTGTGCAGAGTACGACTGATTGTTGTCCTATGGACAGACTCTCCCACCTCAGCTGTAGATCTCTGCAGTTCATCCAGAGTGATCATGGGCCTCTTGGCTGCATCTCTGATCAGTCTTCTCCTTGTTCCAGATGAAAGTTTAGAGGGACGGCCGGGTCTTGGTAGATTTGCAGTGGTCTGATACTCCTTCCATTTCAATATGATTGCTTGCACAGTGCTCCTTGGGATGTTTAAAGCTTGGGAAATCTTTTTGTATCCAAATCCTGCTTTAATCTTCTCCACAACAGTATCTCGGACCTGCCTGGTGTGTTCCTTGGTCTTCATGATGCTCTCTGCGCTTTGAACAGAACCCTGAGACTCTCACAGAGCAGGTGCATTTATACAGAGACTTGATTACACACAGGTGGATTCTATTGATCATCCTCAGTCATTTGGGACAACATTGGATCATTCATAGATCCTCACTGAACTTCTGGACTGAGTTTGCTGCTCTGAAAGTAAAGGGGCCCAATAATATTGTACGCCCCACTTTTCAGTTTTTTATTTGTTAAAAAAGTTTGACACATCCAATAAATTTCATTCCACGTCACGATTGTGTCCCACTTGTTGTTGATTCTTCACAAAAAATTAAAATTTTATATCTTTATGTATGAAGCCTGAAATGTGGCAAAAGGTTGAAAAGTTCAAGGGGGACGAATACTTTCACAAGGCACTGTACATTCACGTCGCAACTTTTTTATTTGTTCGTATATTTGAAAGTAACCAATGATGAGAGGGGAGCTGGTCCATCGAATCACTGCAAAGTGGGCAGGTAACGTTAGACCCACCTTCAAGAAGAGCTATATTCTAGTACAAAGTTCATACGTCACTGAACTGGGCGCACCCACAGCGCCACTAACACACCCAAAATGGATTCCACTGAGGAAAGTCACCCAGAAGATACAGTACCCAGGGCCTTATTGAAAGATTATTAAAAGATTATTGAAAGGCTCAGTACAGCAGGACAGATTCTCCCACAAGAACCAGACTGGACTCCAAAATCTTTGAAAACCAACTTGTTCTGAACTTGAACAAGAACTTCTTGCTGCAACATTAAAATGTGTCGGTTCATGATGTTAGGAGACGAGAGATGTCTCCAAGTGTCTCGACACTCTGGTCCAAGTTTTAAAAATGTTGTCAGGAAGTTAAAATATTGTTCAATATTGACCCATTACAAGGTTGACTAGACATATTTTAACTAGTTGATGACAAACTGAGTTGAACTGATCAGATGTTCCTTTGTCTAATGCTCCTTTTGTTCATCAGACAACTTTTACTTAAACGTGTTTACTGCAGTTTAAAATGACACATTGGTTTTGATTTGTGTTGAATAAAAACTTTCAAAGGTAAAATCATTCCTCTTTCTTATTTTGATTAATGACATTTAACTCTGCAGCTCATCTCTGAAATTCTGACACAGAATCACAAGTCCAGGTTGACCAGTGTCACAGAGTAACACAATAAAAACATGTATATCTGCAGCATCCGTCAGTAAAATGGAACGACACTATTAATGTATTACAGAAAATATACATATGGTACGCAGACTCAAAGACATGTAGACCATTACATTATGTAATACATACAGCAAGTACTTTTACTTTTAATACTTTGTTTTTTTAAAAGCAAGTACTTATTTACTTAAGTAAAAACGTTAATGTGGTACTTCTATTTTTACTCGAGTACATTTTTGTCTGTGTATTTGTACTTTTACTTGAGTACAGTGTTTGAGTACTTTCTCCACCACTGACTGTTTATACTTCGACTCTAGCTCCGATTGTTGTGAATGTTCTGGCGCCGTCTTTCTGCTCAGAGTGAAGCATCTTTCGTCTGTTTTCAATCTTTGGCGGAGTCATTCAGTTAAAGTGGGTCTCGTGCGCGCGCCGCGGCAGTTATTCCTGTCGCACCTGTAGGCAGCCACAGTCCGGGGGGGCGGGGGCTGCGAGGAAACTGAGGCCGGGCAGGAGCATCACAGGGCGGCGTCACAACAAGCGGCACCCCGCCGGAGGCCGGTCCGTCCGGAAACCAGAGTGGAAGTGTCGGCGTCACGGCGCGAACATGAGCGGAAGAGTCGGAGAGCTGAGCCCGAACCAGGCGGAAGTTCTGCAGCAAGTAAGCGCGTGATGGTTGTGGTGCTCACCTGCGCAGGTTGATTCTGGTGGAAAGGTTCTCAGGAACCACCGCTTCTCAACATTTACTTTGCTTTCACTTCAATAGACCAGCACACCTTACTAAAACCATTTATAACCGAGTGTTTCAAATATAATGCGCACGAGCCAAGGACACAGAAGATGAAGATTTATAAAAGTTAGCAGGAAACAGATGTTCGCCTTCAACAGGACAAGGAGTCAAATGGGTTTTAATGTTGAAGCTCCACCGTCCAACAAGACTCACTTCTGCTTTTCTCCAACTAAACCAAGTTGAGCACGAGAGCAGCCTGACATGCAACACAAGGAGAAGTGAACAAATATTAAATAAAAATCTAATTATGATTCCAAGTTTTACTGTAAGTCCACCGAACTCTGCTGCACGTGGGAACTTCACTTAGAGTAATAACCAGTTCATAACCTGTAAATGATTAGAGTAATAAC